CCACTCGAATAATAAGTGATCCAGTTTATTTAACGCTGAGTAATTTTAGTGCATGAGGAAATCAAAAGTTTCTTAGATTCCTATACTTCCCAAGTTGCATATGCCATGCGATGTTATTGTAGGGTATGTAGGTTCAAGCGCCGGCCGGTTTTCTGGTCTGCAACGTCACAGAATTTAACAGTTAAAGAGAGAACCGCTTTGTGTGAGTGTGTTTGATTCTCTCTCTCTCTCTCTCTCTCGCTCCCTCTGTGTCTCTCTCTCTCTCTCTTCGTAAGGCTCACAGCTGTTAATGCTTTGAAATTCATTCGATTTTGTTTACATCGCTTGGGATACCATGCTGTTGTTGTTGATTTTCGTATTCTTGGTATTTTTGGGGGCCGCACTGCTGCTGCTGCCCCTTGTTGCCATGTTGCACGAGTATATGCTGTGTAGTATGCTGGCTGTTATGCGGCGTTGTTGTTGCCTTTGGAATGACCTCTGTAGGCATACATTCCCAGCCATGTTGCTGTTAGGGGGGGAGGGGGCTTTTCCATTTCTCTGGGAGGCGGGGGGCGTACATAAACTCGCACACACACACACACTCCTGCAACTTCAATCAACTTCCATCAACCAACATCCAGTCCATAGATTTGCGTAGTTGTTATTGTTGCCAGTTTTCCCCCTTATCTGATTTCGAGTTTCGGGGTGGATTTGAGGGATTTGATTTTCATACCGCCAGCATTTTGAGACGTCATTTTCGGAAAATTCGCTGCGTATTTTCTTTGATCTTGGATGGGGGGGGGTGGCGGTCAATCTTCCAACAAAAGTACAGTAAAACCGGAAAACTCGAACAGCGAATGCGATAAAGAAACTTAATCCGAAAGGAGGGAAATGCAAGAGCATGATGTCCTTTGCCAAGAAGTAACGAAACCAACAGTAAAGTATCTTTATCTAGAAGCAAAATCGTTGAAGTGGCCAAAAAACAAAAGTGCTGATAATGCTTCAAGGAAAACCTATAGGAAACCTGTAGGGGCACACACACACACACACGCACGCACGCAGAATGGCGGCCAAGTGCAAAGATGAACTATCTGACAAATTCAATTAATCATTTCTCTAGTGAAAATTCCAAAGCAGCAACAACAACAACTGGAATCAACAGAGCGTTGCCAGTGCTACAACAAATACGCAGTTACGAAAAGCAGCATCGCATCGCATCGCTCAAGTGAATGTGAATACGAATACGAATGTAAATGTGAATGCAATCCGTGAATCCGTGAGGTTACAAAACGAGCGAAAGAAACGCAAAAGGCAAAACCAAAACAAAGCAGCATCGGCATTAGATGGAAAAAGAGAGAGAGAGAGAGGGAGACACCAGAAGGCAATGCACAGATACAGATACAGGAAAGCAAATGCTCACACACAGATACACATACACATTACCCAAACTGGAAAATAGGTCAACCAGTCGAGAGCGCAAGAGAGTCGCTTGAATAGCAAAGAGAATTTCAAGAGAGAGAGAGAGAGATAAGAGATGTAAACTAACGTTGTAACATAACAGCGTGTAAGAGAGCGCGCGTACTGGGAAAAATTAGAACGGGAACGGCTCTGTTAGTCAACAGCGGCCTCAATTTTGCGTTACAGATGGGATTGGACTGGAAGGTGGGTGGGTGGGGGCCGGGTTGGTTTATGGTATCCATTGGCATCCAACAAAGTTCTGAACAGCCGAGCAGCTGTTGCACTCTCTCTCTCTGTCTCTCTATCTCTGTACTTTACCGTACCGTACCGTACGCCCTTCGCCCTTCAGCCCTCAAGAGCTGGTAATTTTATTGGAATTTTATGAAAATTAAACCGGATTTTTGGGATTTCTTTGTAAAGTCGTAATGAGACACAGCATCTTATTATTATATCTCCGCTGCATTTCAGCGCTGTCCGCGTTGTATTTGGTTGGGCGCCGTCGCTTTTATTTCGTTTCGTATTCTCTCCTTTATCATTAATGTATGCCTATAGTAGAGATCTGTATGTGTATGGGTGTGCTGTGATTGGATTGCCTTCGAAACCGGATTTCGAAAATATGTATGTCATTCCGTTCCATTCAATTACGCTTTTGCCTAGGCATGGGTATGGGCATGGGCATGGGCATAGGTATAGGTCCCACAATGGACGGTCTTTGTTGAAAAGAAATCAACTTGAAATTGCCCCAATCGGTTGAAGATGACGTAGAGAAAGTGCAAGTCTCATGCAAAATCAAATGCTCGTACTGGGCGATCAAAAATTATCGATATATCGCCCATAATCCATACAGGATCTCGAAGATTCTTCTCACTTGGCATTGGCGTAACTCTTTCGAATTTCCTTCCTCTATGACGTTATCATCCCCCATTTGAGCTAAGGCTGTGAGCACTAATTAGAATCGCCTGTCTTCACTCCACGATGTCCAGGGCAGCACCTGTCAAGCTGGGCAAATTTGCCAGCATGACGGGGCACTTGACGAACGTGGCCATGGACATGAGCCTGGACATGGATGTTGATGTGGACATGCCACCGACACTGCGTCGAGATGTCTATCAAAAGCTGTCAGTTTCCAAACAAACAAACAAACCAACCAACACACAACGAACAGAACGGAACATAAAACGCAAATCGCAGATGGCGGAAAATGAAAATCGCCCTTGACTGCCACTCCATACACATACATAAGTACGAGTAAATCTTTGACTCCGACTCGAACTCCACCATTAACTCCTACACCCACACCCACTCCTACTCCCACTGCCACTCCCACTCCCTCTCGTACTCCATGACATTCGAAGTTGCGTGTTTGGATCATTAGAATGTTTACCTGTTCGCTGTTAGTGTATCTTCTGTTTGACATCCAGCAAGTCGTGTAGGGATATGGAAAATCAAGTTACCAACGGCCAACAGGGTCGTCGTCTTGTGTGATTGATGTGAACATGTCAGCACAGACATGGACGTGTGGATGTGGCTGTGGATGGGGAGGCTTTGTCAGCAGGAAGCATAAATTGTAGACAAAGATGATCACCGATGCAAGATACACCGATGCATGCTGCTATTACAAGACTCACAATCAGTTGCAGATACAAATTTATGTCATGTGCAGTCTGGACATGTGACTGACAAAAAAACAAACCATGTCGAGAGTCAGAGTTTTGACAACCGGTTCCACCTCCAGCCTCCATGGCTGGGGTCAAGCGGATAGCGGACAGCGGGCAATGGACAACGGACAACGGACAATATTCACCTGACAGCAACTTTCCTTGGACGGCTGATTTCACCAATGGACGATTCAATTCCATGCTCGGCTTGGGAGCTGGAGTCGCGGGACTGAGACTGAGGCTCGGACGGAGACTGGAACCTGGCACTGGCACTGGGACTGGGACTGGGACTGGGGATTGGCGACTGTGCGTGCTGTTGACATTGGCTCATAAATTCTGGTGGAAAACAGACAACAGTTTTCATTGTCTTGCTGCTCAGATGCAAGACGTTTGTTTGAACAATACACAAATATGGGCACTAGACAAACATCGATACGCAGTAATAGACAAATAGATGTTTCGTTGCCACTAGGGGAAGGGGATACTCCGTAGAGGGTAGATAGCAGAGGGGGGAGAGCTGCTGCCAGCTGTCAGAGTCGAACTGTTGACATCCCAACAATCAAACAACCCCCCGATTGAAGACTTTCTTTACCCCGAAATCGGGCCAAGCCTCGGCAGCCTTGGCAACTTTGCAACTCTGCAGCTTTTGGGGGCAACAAATGGGTCAACCGGCGACGAACGTCACTTGCTGACCTACTTTTGGCATGGAAAACTGTGTCAGGGATGTTTTAGCAGGCAGGCCCAGAGCCAGTAAAGTCTTGATACACACAATCGAATTTTATCAACTAAGTACAGTTCACTATACTGCGCAGAATTCATTCATTTGTATTCTCTTTACATTGAATACCGAATTAAATGGGCAAATGCCCATTCCTCTGTCTTAAAATAAAGAAAATATGAAATGTTAGTGATGGTTTTGAAGCAGTAATCGAGACTAGATGGCCCAAAAAACATAGCACATATTTTTGCTTTCATCTGGCAGCCGCTCAACATCAAGGACAAGGATTTGCCAAGGGCAAACGAGAACAACAGCAACAACCACTACAAAGACGGAGTACATAGGTTGACCTACTTTTGTTGTTCCTTCTGTGGCATGTCAGGGCTAAATAAATACTATAGTTGGCCGATACAAAATCTTTCCTTTCCATAAGTTAAAAAATTTAATTATTTAAAAAACAATTTTTTCAACAAAAAAACAATGGTCAAAATTGTCACATTTCAAAATTTTACATTGAGCTAACATTTACATTAACATTAACTTTAACATTGTTGTGAAACAATGTTGCGTATTTTGCGATTTCGGCGTGTACAAATGTTGCGTAGAGAATGTTGCGAAGATGTTGCAAAATTCTTACGAAGAATTTGGGGGGCCCGCCTGGAAGTAGGCAATCATTTTGTACTTACCTAAAACTAGTCAAGTTTTGCATGTTGTAGGAAATAAGAAGAAAATGGTATAAGATTCACTCCCAGCCAAGTTTTCTAATTTATTATCCTCTTGTTTCATTTAGTTTAAATAAAGAAATAGTTCTTTAAATATGCTAAATGTTTATTGTGTGTTTGTCGTAGCTGCAACAGCTCCATCAGCGCGGCCCGGCAGAAACAGCAGCCGAAAGTTGAGATCAAACTCAAGAGCGTCAAAGCTAACCAGAGCGCAAGCTTTAGCGGGGAGAGATTACAAAACAGGCAAAAGCAGAAAAACAAACAATGATGCTTGATGACATTTACTTTAGGACAATTCTGCGCCGTTCTGCTCCGTGTATAGCAAGGATATCGGAGGCATATCAAAAGATCTGACGATTGCTTAGGTTAATACATATTGATGATACATGATGATCAACAGCTATCCAATTTTGACATGTAAGCACGTTGCTCTCAAAACCACACCGACGTGGCTTCCTTCTCAAATTAGCACTGCGAGTCGCTGTTAACGTTGAAACTACAGCACTTCAAAATAACGACAGCCACAACAATTGTTGAAGTACCTATCACCAAGAATATACACAACTTCCAAGAACCAAGAAGTGGTTCATTTTCGATAATTTGATCTCGGCACTGCATTGGTTGGGGCTGTGGAACTTCCGAGTCGCCAAATATGCAATCCAGACTAACATTCCTTTCCTAAAATGAAATACACATTTCGATTTAGGTGATAATATCTATTTTCGCATATTCTACATACCGTTTCATGGATCCTCTTCACAATCGGAGAGCGGCAGCTGCACCTGATTGGGTTTCCTTTTACTATTGCCTGAGTGTTAACAAGGCCAATTATGCTGCGAATATCGGTCAGATTGTTGTGGCTCACATCAACCAGATCTATTTTTGCAACAGATCTGGGCAGGTCAGTAAGCTTGTTTCCGCTAAGGTCTATGCTTTTCAGGCCTAGCATTGATCCGAAGCTCCAGCTGGAGAGTCTTTCAATCTTGTTATTGGACAAATCGAGGTGCATTACGTTCTCAAACCCTGTTTCATTCAGGGATGATGGGACTTCTTGCAAGCCATTTCCTGAGAGATTCAGGGCATTTGGCCTCCACGCTGCCAAACATTCAAAGTCCACACTTGGCTGATCTGAGCAATCAGCAGTCACGTAACCATCGATGACTTGAATCGAGCACCCACATCGAGCAGGCCATTGAAGGTCTTTTGCTTCCTCAGCATCCAGCAAAATAATGAACAATAAAAGTATTATTTTCATCCTAAAGGGAAAAAACGAAGGAGGTGCAATAGCCAGTGAAAACCAAGGTTACCAGTTCCCTAAATTTATAGTATTGACTTATATGTAGCTCGTTATCAATCGAATAATCTTATCTTAGTAAAGTCTTTCATTTAGTATACTGTATGGTTAGTGGTATTCGGTAAAGGTTATTCCCCAAAAACAGTCGTGAAAGTGCGCTACGGAGGTAAACTCTCTTGAAACCCGTGTATAGCTAGATCGGACAAGAAATTTATAAAACATATTGGCATACGAGATATGCAAATGATTTACTTTACATACATAAATAGTGATTCTTGCAAACGTACCTGAACAGACCATTTCTAGAGATCTGTCAAGGAATATATACATAAATAGTTCCACAATGGAGTTACCTTTGCAGCGGTTATGTAATATGTAAGAGAAAAAACAAAGAAAGTGCAAAAACCAGTATAAACCAGTATATATAAACCAGTGTATAGTATTGATAGCTTGTTATCAAATCTAATGTAATCTTTTACACACTTTTACACTGATCGCAGATCAGTTAGATGTCTTCTTATATGGATCATCGGACACAGGGACATCCATTGGAATGATGCCGCCAACGAACTAGCCAGTTCTTCTGCCACTGCCCGGCCCGCTCACGGACATTTTGGGAAATTTATGCCTACCACGGATTAGGCAGAGAGCGGCAACTCAAAGGACCTTTAACAGGTCCAAGTGAAACGGTGGAGACTCGCCCCCTCTCCCCAGACACCGCCACAACCTATCCCAAACTAGATAGACTTCAGTTCTGTTATAGCAAGGTAAGAATTTATCGATGTTATCCACCCTGTAAGTTGTATTGCATAACCGATATCTGAAAAGGTATTATGCTATGCTATGTTTTTATACACGATACAGATTTTGCACTCTAGAAGATATAGTCATACTAGGCGCTGAAGGGGACGGACAGACGGACGGACGGACGGACAGACGGACAGACAGACAGACAGACACGGACAGACATCCTTCACTTCATTTCCGATGTGAACAAAAAAAAAAGATTGGAGTTCGCAAAACTTCACTTAAATAAGCCAGTTATGAGTTAGTTATGAGTCTAAATATAATATATTCCGACATGATGGACCATCCAAAGTATGGAGAAACGATAATCAAGCCATGAAAGAGAAAGACCTCATCCCAAAATTGAAGCATGGCGGTGGAAATGTAATGGTTTGGGGGTGTATAGCAGCAGCTGGACCTGGGCAAATGGTGTTTATTGAGACCAAGATGGACAAACACATCTACAAGAAAATTTTGACTGACAATTCAATGGCGAGTGTCGAAAAATTGGGTCTTAAAGCGATGAATTTCTTGTTTCAATAAGACAATGACCCCAAAAATACCACTTTTTTGGTCAAAGAATGGCTGTTGTATCAGTGCAAGCAGTTAAAAATGCCGCCGCAGTCACCAGATCTGAACGCCATAGAGCATGCTTGGGATTTGCTAGAAATAAAAATTAGGAAACATAAAATTTCCTCCAAGAAAATCCTTAAAACGGCTCTGATGACGGAATTGGAGAAAATTGATCCAAATGAAACCAATAATTTGGTAAAAAGTATGCCCCGACGTCTAAAAGCTGTTATTGAAGCTAAGGGCGGCCCCACCAAATATTGAAATCAGAAAAAATTGGGGACTGCCGCTTATAAACTGTGAGCCGACAACAAAAATGTACAACATTTTTTCTCAATGATAACTGGTCCTAACATGAATGTATTGCACTTATTTTTTCACCTTTGGCCTGTGATCAGCAGTGAAGAAGTCTTGAAAATCTGAATTTTTCTTATAACTTGTTAAATTTGTTTATTACTTATGTGTTGGTGATGGTTGAATAGCCATCGATGGGTTTTTGATATCGTTTGAAATAAAATAAATCGATGTGATTCCAGGGATTCCAAAGCTCTCGAAGTATCGAGATATATATCGATCGATATAGTGGAAGCGATATATATTCTTTTCATATAGAATATAATAGGATATACACTCCCCGACACTTGAATACGACATACTAAATTGTACACTTTAGGCACCAATATTTTCGGGCACAAGCCAAAGAAAACGGTGAATTTGAATTTTCCTCAAATCTCTATTCAATTTAGCATAAATTAAAAAAAAAAATAATAGAAATATTCATCAAAGTAGATTGAGGAAAAAAATGTAATTGGCATAACTCAAATTTCCGCTCCCAAAAAATGCGACACTTGAATACGACATTCACATTGAAAAATTTTTTATTTTGGATGTGGTCGCGACCGGACATTGAATAAATTCTCAAAAATCAATTAGGGTGTCCTTATTACGAGAAAATTTGGGTTATGGTAAGTCCTTTTCAAAGGACGAAAACTCCACAATAAAAGCCTCGAAGGAAGTAGGTCCATCAATAATGAAAATAAGTGATGAAATTGGTATGAGTGATTTCATAAAGAACGGGTCAAATTATGGCAAAAACATAAAAACCCGAACCAAAATTGCTACTTCCGAGATCTCTATGAGATCTCATCCGCGAGCCGCATCTAAAAAACACGACTAAAACTCGATTTAAAAATCTAAAACTGTACTTTAAGCTAGTGCTAAAATAATAAAACATGTTTTTTCGAAGACTCCACACCATTAGGGACTGTAATTAATGAAAAACCCCTCAACTTTGTTGCATATTTGACAAACTCGACTTAATGAAAAATCAACTGGTCCACGCCGTTTTAGGATCTTGCTCACCACAGAATAATAGCGCTCACACTGCTGTGAAAACGATCCAATTATAATTCTTCTTTACTACTCACTTCCTTTACTTCCTTTAGTCCTTATAAATATAAAAAAAAATCCTTATGACTCTTAAAATTTAAATTTTTGTTCCTTTGAAAATGCTATGTAGCGACAGTCTCTACTCCACGCCATATGAATATGCAAAAGTACGGGAGTAAGTAAGTAAGTTTTCGTCCGTTGGCTGAGGTTTTTTATTAATTACAGTCCCTTATGGTGTGGAGTCTTCGAAAAAACATGTTTTATTATTTTAGCACTAGCTTAAAGTACAGTTTTAGATTTTTAAATCGAGTTTTAGTCGTGTTTTTTAGATGCGGCTCGCGGATGAGATCTCATAGAGGTCTCGGAAGTAGCAATTTTGGTTCGGGTTTTTATGTTTTTGCCATAATTTGACCCGTTCTTTATGAAATCACTCAGAACACACCTAGTTTTACCAATTTCATCACTTATTTTCATTATTGATGGACCTACTTCCTTCGAGGCTTTTATTGTGGAGTTTTCGTCCTTTGAAAAGGACTTACCATAACCCAAATTTTCTCGTAATAAGGACACCCTAATTGATTTTTGAGAATTTATTCAATGTCCGGTCGCGACCACATCCAAAATAAAAAATTTTTCAATGTGAATGTCGTATTCAAGTGTCGCATTTTTTGGGAGCGGAAATTTGAGTTATGCCAATTAAATTTTTTTCCTCAATCTACTTTGATGAATATTGCTATTATTTTTTTTTTAATTTATGCTAAATTGAATAGAGATTTGAGGAAAATTCAAATTCACCGTTTTCTTTGGCTTGTGCCCGCAAATATTGGTGCCTAAAGTGTACAATTTAGTATGTCGTATTCAAGTGTCGGGGAGTGTACATATGAAGCTTTGCTATACCGTCTCCAACAGAATGATGTGTTTCTGAGAGTATAGTATTTGTCGTAACGATAGAGTGAGAAGTAAGGGTTGTCGCCTCTCAAAGAATTTATTATAAAAAAATGATCTACGGATTGATTCTACGGAGATTTTTCCCTAATAGCAGTTCTTTTCAATATTAAGACGAACGTTTTTATATTAATTAATTTTGAGATTTTTACTTGGCCCAAGATGGGGTTCAGTCGTGTGTAGACTTTCCTTATCAGAGTCCCGCCAGAGTCCCAAACAGATTAGCTTAAGTAGAATTGCGGGATTTATTAATTCTACTGACTTATCAGTTGTTGTTGAATATACATATATATATATATATGTTGAATAAGTCAGAGTAAATGGTGATTAAGTCAGTATGTAATTGACTTTTGAAACAACATGACCACATTGCTGAACACTTGAAGGAATGTGATTTAAGGAAAGACAGAGGACATTGTCCATTGTGAGCATCACAAATTGAAAACTACATTGTTTCGCTCTCTCTCTTTCCCAGAAATTTGTTGGATTCTGGGGTTTTCTTGGCTCGCAGTAAGATTCGAACTTATATAAAACGCTCAACATTTTTCAAATCGCTCTCATAGCTATTCTCTTAAGATAGCCCAGCAGCATAATTAACTAAATGTGTACATTTGTATGTACTTACTTTTGTAAGTAAGGAAAATTAGTCTTGTGCCAAAACGTATAATTTTGTATTGATACATATTTGTGAATACTTTAGAAGCTTTTAGATATACTGAAGTAGAATTTTTTGTATATAGATTTGTAGAGATTTGTTCCGTCCTTGTTATGTGAGTTCCTATTCCAAAATTTTCTCGGCTTCGCTATGTTTATCTTAGGCCAGAAGAAAGAAAATTATTACAAAAATCCAGAGAAAAATCCAGAGAATATTCTCAAAATTTTTTTTTTCCTCTCGGCACTGTGTCATTGTTTCATTGGAGTCATCCAAAACACATTCAAGAGTTACATTCTTTCCCTAGAATTTCAAAATATTACTAAAATATTTGTCGGACAAGAAATTTATAAAACATATTGGCAGTGCATACGAGATATGCAAATGATTGACTCTACATACATAAATAGTGAACGTGAACGTTGCAAACGTACCTGAACAGACCATTTCTAGAGATCTGTCAAGGAATATATACATAAATAGTTTCACAATGGAGTTACCTTTGCACCGGGTATGTAATATGTAAGAGAAAAAACAAAGAAAGTGCAAAAACCAGTGTAAACCAAAGCTATAAATTCGCTACATTTATATATATTGATACCTTTCCCTCTTATCAACTGCGACAGAACAGACACATTCCATTCACTTCTATCGCCAAAGCTGGCTAAATAACTACTTTTTTAATCGAGGCCAAATTCCTGATCAGTCGCGAAAGTGCATTAAAGAGGCTAACCTCTCTCATTAGGCCCGTGACAAACATTGACATTGATATTCTCTTTGCTTTTCCTCTATTTTGTTGCACGGGGGGAGTCTGGATGAACAAACATTAAATTCAACGGCGATATGCACGATTTTCATTTTTACATTACATTACATCTTTCGGTGTTAGCTTTGCGGTTTATAACAACTCATAACTACGAATAGTGTTCATTATATTATTCAAAAAACCCGAAAACATATTATTTACTTATATACCAGAGTGCGGATGATGCAATTGGCTAAGTCACGTTTTACACAAGTCTGTTTTATCACTAAAAGAAAGTACCTTATTTAATATAAATATTTATGCGTAATATACAGTAATTTTCTTAACTCTGCTTATTATATTTTTATACATACATATTTTCTTTGCTTTTTTTTATCAGGCCGGTAAATAGGGTAAAGTCTAACATAGATCACGGACTAGTAAATTACGATATTTTTTTATCGATGTTTTAAATTACAACTCTGGACTGAATATGGGCACTAATTCAGTATATACTGTATACTGTATTGTTAGCGATATGTGGAAATTATTTTTTTAAAAGCAGGGAACAAAAAGTTTTGCTGCAAATAAAACCTTTGTTCACAAAAGTATATTCCAAACTTAAAATGCAAATTGTTATTCGTAATTGATGGTAGCTTGGTGGTTATAAGTTAATGATTATAAGAGGCGAAAACACAACTGGGCAGCACTTAAACGGCGATTGAAACGAAAATGGGCAGCACTTTCTCGGAGGCGTAACGATATATAAATATATTTTTCTATCTGTTGCCCTAGGGATCACCACTCGACGCCTTTCCAGGTGTCAATCCCACCTAGGGCGGACTGGGAGATGAACGAACCAGGCCCTGCGAATGCGGTCCACTTTTACACTGATCGCAGATCAGTTAGATGTCTCTTATATGGGTCATCGGACACAGGGACATCCATTAGAATGATGCCGCCAACGATCTAGCCAGTTATTCCAGCTATCACGGGACACTGGAAGATTGGCACTCACTTCTCCAGACCGTCAATCCCGCCCAATTACCGAAGCAATCTGTCTTTTTCTGCCACTGTCCGGCCCGCTCACGGACATTTTGGGAAATTTATGCCTACCACGGATTAGGCAGAGAGCGGCAACACAAAGGACCTTTTACAGGTCCAAGTGAAACGGGGGAGACTCGCCGCCTTTCCCCAGACACCGCCACAACTTATCCCAAACTGGATAGACTTCAGTTCTGTTATATGTAGCATTTGGTCACATAAACGAAATGTGTTCATTGGGAGGTAAGAATTTATATCTAATTACAGAAATTAGTTCAATTTCATCTCTTTTCAGATGAGTACCGAGGACACGGCGTTAAAAATAGCTAAACAAATTGTTACAAAACAATTTTCCAAGTGAAACGGGGGAGACTCGCCGCCTCTCCCCAGACACCGCCACAACTTATCCCAAACTGGATAGACTTCAGTTCTGTTATATGTAGCATTTGGACACATAAACGAAATGTGTTCATTGGGAGGTAAGAATTTATATCTAATTACAGAAATTAGTTCAATTTCATCTCTTTTCAGATGACTACCGAGGACACGGCGTTCAAAATAGCAAATCAAATTGTATGCCCTCCCGTGAAATCGAGTGAGTCAGAGCGAGTTTTTATTAAAAACGAGGGGGAACGTTGTGAGTTGCTGCGGACACCGAAATTTTGAGATATACGTTTTATAGTGAGATCTAACAGGAGTGCGGATACCAAATTTGGTTTCTTTAGCCTTAATAGTCTCTGAGATTTGTGAATATCCCCAGATTTTCGTCCTTTGCGTGGGCGGAAGGGGGTGTGACGAAATTTTGAACCAAACTCGTCTCGGTCTGATATATTAGGAGTGTGGATACCAAATTTGGTTGCTCTAGCTTTGATAGTCTCTGAGATCTAGGCGCTAATGTTTTACTCTAAGCAAAGCCGGCTATGCTACGTGGATGTTAGAGAGAGACAGGGCGAGAAAAAATGAAATTGTTTTCTTGATGCTGGCTATAATAATAATACGATCCAATTCAGATTCTGCAGTCTAAAAGATATGATCCCTACGATTCTGCGTTTTTGGTTATATCGTATCCTTAAAAATGTGGATGCCACAGATTTTCGTCCTTTGTGGAGGCGGAAGTGGGCGGGGCGAAGTTTTGAAATATTTTTGTAGCAGTGACATATCACAGAAGTCTGGATCCAAAACATCGTTGCTCTAGCTCTTATAGTCTTTGAGCACTAGGCGCTGAAGGGGACGGACAGACGGACGGACAGACAGACTGACAGACAGGGCTCAATCGACTCGGCTATTGATGCTGATCAAGAATATATATACTTTATGGGGTCGGAAACGATTCCTTCTGGACGTTACACACATCCATTTTCACCACAAATCTAATATACCCCAAATAAAGCCAAGCACGAACTGATTCCCCAGGCTTCATATTGCCGACACGTGTGCGCTCCTTCGCTCTATCGCAGTGTGGCTTTGCAGTTATAGATGGTAGGGTTACGTACTGAAAAAAGCTCTTTCACCCGCGGGCTCTATTCGAGTAATACTCGTACTTGAAGCCCCCATTCCAGCCAACCCATGGGATTAGTGCGCTGTGACCTTTCCATAGAGATACATATGTAAATGTATTTGTCTATATAAACTGAGTTCAGGTTATCTCACCATCGTTGTATAATCTTTTAAATAATATTAATTTAATTCAAGTATTCAACATGGTACTTTAGTATTTTTCAAAAAGCAGCAATGAGATTGAGAAGCAGCCAGATAGCAGCTGCAGCACTGCACAAAAGAATCAGCTGCAACGTGCGATGCAGCATGTGAAACCTAAACACAATTAAAATTCTTTATTTTGGTTCACTCCACTTTGAAAATGAGTTTACTTACCGCCTCCATACCCTTTGACCCTCAGCAATGGAGGACGGAGAACGTGGCTCTTTGCAGAGGTAGAAGCGCATTCCGCGTAGGGCACGATTGAAATAACTATCCCAGTCCAGAGCCAACATGTCAAAGTTGTATATCTCCTGATCCTGTGGCGACATACTTTGCCACAGCCTATCCTTGTTTTTCGTACCGAACTTCCAACTCCGGCAGGTGAACGGCCTCAATAACAGCATGTTCTTATGTACTTTCTGGTATATTTTTAACAGGCGCGGCTTTCGGCCGATCGCACAAAGTGCCAGATCCACTACAAGGCCGGGGAGAGTATGATAGAAAAACGCAGCCAGGGGAAAGAGCCAGGAAGTGGTCATGAAATGCATGAAGGGGTACCACAGCATCTTCGTCACTGCATAATTTTCGCCAATTGACTGCGTCTTGTCCCTGAATGCGCCATAGGTCAAAAGGTTTTGCTCACTGGGTGTAAGGTGGTAGATAGGAGGTGGCGATGAAGTTCTCACAGCTGAAGCAGCTGTTTTCCAGGCACTCGCCAAAGCCATGCTGGCACAGTAGTCCACAGGAACCACACTGTTCTGTGCGTTCACATCGACCAGCGCAATGCGTATGACCCCGTGAGCGACTCCATACACTAACCCTATTGGTCCGTAAAGATTGTCAATATAACCTGACACGGGTTCGCTGGAGGTGGCAATAACTGTGATCATGGAAAGAAAATTTTTAGAAAATTCCGATGACCCCTCTTTAAGCACTTACTAATGGCTGGTCGAAAAATGCACAAGGGCAAATCGCCCGCCTCCCGAAGGATCACATCTTCGCCAAGAGCCTTGGTGTAAGTATAGGTGTTCGGAAACGATCCCAGCAGAGCAGACGTCATGTTGTCTATCAGCTGATCACCTAGCTGATCAGTCATTTCCAGCACCTTCTCAGAACTGTTCGTCAGAAGTTCAGGATAGAACTTTTCCTGGATGTGATCTATCACACAGTTGGCGAAGGCTGTCGAGACGTGAACAAATGCCTCCAGGTTGACCATTTGCTTCCCCAGCTGCACCATCAGTCGCGTGGCACGAGTATTGATGGCCAGTGCCACATGCAACGGCTCGTTGAACCGTACTGTGGCTGCTCCGTGAAGAACGATCTGCACCTCTGATGCCAGGAGCCTTCGGTCCGTATCGCTTATGCCCAGGTCCGGCTCCAGACAATCTCCAGCGATGGGGCATACTCGCTGCAGAGCGTCTGACTTGGACTTCAGTAGGAGTTCAAAAACCTTTTCGGGAAATTCTGAATGAGAACCTACTTTTATGATAAGGCTTCATAGTTAATACGCACAAGATCCTTTGACCATTCGCTGATTCGTTCCTGAATTTCCACGCCACGCTTCGGTCTGATCAATAAATATATTTGCTTTACCTCCGTGGTTCGTAAGAGTTTCTCAACCATAACTGAAAGCTCGGTAAATAAACGAACCGTTTGTCAAAATTATCTAATATGAGGTGTGCTTCATGAAAATCTCGATTTGTACCTTTTCCCAAGAATCCGGTGCCTCCTGTTATGAAAACGGTTTTGTTTCTGTAAAACCTTTGGATATCGGTTTCCATTTTGACTTTGCAGTTCCCTAATCCTCGAAGCGGAACGTACAACCAGAAGTGAAAACTTAAAATAGAAAAAGTTTCGACTCTGGGGCCCTTTTTATAGGCATTTAATACGCCTACAGTAGAAACTTGCGAATTAAAACTTTGAACTCGAATTTAATTTCTAATCGTTTGCGGGTATTATAAATTGGTGTTTGGTAGATCTTATAGTTTCCCGCAGAACAAAAGGTTCTATTTCACAGCGACTACTGTACCTGACCTTTATGTTCCAGAATACAATAGCAGTATATTTTTTTTGTTTAGCATTAACTTATGCAAACCAACTGACACCGAGAGCAACATGCTATTTGTAAATTCAGTCGGCGCCGGGTTTGGTTTTTATAAGTTGCATGGGAGAACCACCTATACATTATTCTATTTGTGTGGTATTCGACAGTTGGAAGCACACTATTTTCGTGGCAAGTCGATGGGAATTTCGAGATTAAAACAATAAGTGACCAATTGAGCTTCATTCAAAGGGAAGTATTTATTTCTTCTAACACACCATTTGGATATACTACGAGCATCAAATAGAAAAGACTAAGATCTTAAGGAGCCACCACAAAAGGAGTCCTGCCACACAGCATAATGCCACTTGAAGGCTGTAGTGCAACATCTTCAATCTGTGCAAATAGGAGATAGGAGAAGCAATGCTGATTATGGAATCACAAATCAATAGCCTTCAATATGTGGCAAATTACCGTACGAATAGCCGCAGACCCTTTTCAATAGACTCCGATGTTGGTGCTTCTTTCCCCAGATATAGCCGCATGCCCAGCAAGGCATGTCTGAAGTAATCCTTCCAATCCAGACCCTTCATTTCAAAGTAGTAGACTCGGCGCTCTTCTGCGGACATAAGCTCACGCAAGCGATCCGTATTTTTGGTTTCAAAGTGCCAGGCTCTGTGCAAAAACGGCTGTAATATGTCCATATTTTTGTGAATCTTCCGATATACTTTCACCAAGCGGGGCTTCCGCCCTGTAAGACGCAGCACCAGATCGAAGACGTGTCCCGGCAAGATGTGATAGAAGAAAGCAGCGAAATGATAGACCCACGGAGTTTTTACGCAATGAAGAAAGGGGTACCAGATCATCTTCGTGAGGGGGAATTGACTTCGAAAGCTAACACCATAATTTATAAAGTCTCTATTAGTTAGTGCGTTCTGTTCAGTGGGTGCCAGGGTGTAAACTATGGGCCTTGGCATTTTCTCGTGCCGAACCCTGTTCTTAGACGTCTGCCAAGTACTGGCCAGCGCCACGTTGGCGCAATAGTCGACAGGAACTAGGTTGGCGAACGCCTCCGTGTTTAGGCTGGCGACGCGTAAAACTCCAAGAGCGACACCGTAAATCAAGGCAATGGGTCCATAGAGGTTATCGATCCAGCCTGCGACGGGCTCCTTGTGGCTTGCCATGACTGCAATTATTGATCATGAAATTCAGTTATTCTGCACGCAAATCACTTACTAACTGCTGGACGAAAGATGGACAGCGGCAAGTCGCCCGCTTCACGAAGAATCACGTCCTCTGCCAGGGCCTTGGTGTATGTGTAGGTGTTAGGGTACGATCCGAGCAGAGCTGGGGTCATGTTGTTCATTAACTCCTCACTCAGCTGGTCACACATTTCCAGTACCTTCTCCGAGCTGCAAGTCAAGTGCTCGGGATACAACTTCTCCTCTATGTGCTCGATCACGCAGTTGGAGAACGCTGTGGAGATGTGCAAGAAGGCCTCCAGGTGTCTCATCTGCTTGGCCAGCTGCACCATCAGTCGCGTGGCGCGAGTATTGATGGCCAGTGCCACATGCAACGGTTCGTTGAACCGGACTGTGGCTGCTCCGTGAAGAACGATCTGCACCTCTGATGCCAGGAGCCTTCGGTCCGTGTCGCTTATGTCCAGGTCCGGATAAAGGCAGTCTCCGGGAATGGGCATCAAGCGCTCAAAGGCTTCCGGCCTTGATTTGAGTAGCACTTCAAACAGCTAATATGTGCATGAACCAGTTAATTCGAAACATATTTTAGTCCTAGATTTAAAGACCTACCGGCTCCGTCTGCCAGGACTGAATACGCTCCTGAATGTTTTTACCACGTTTGGATCTAATCATTATGTATATTCGTTTCACGTCAGTGCTACGCAGGAGCTTCTCGATTATCACTAGAAGAGTCCTCTGCATTATATTTAAACCTGTTTTTCCAATGGAGCATGTGCAAATTCAATACCTTTTCCCAAAAACCCGGTGGCACCGGTTAAAAAAACTACTTTTTCCTTATAAAATCCTTTAATACCAGACTCCATTTTGGTATTAAATTGTATAAAAAATCAATTTTTATAAACTCGAATCTAAGAAACTCGTATCGTATTCAACGGCTAAATGTACTAAGAGAATTAATTGGATTTCGCGTCACTTTTTATGCGATTTCGTGAAAGCGAAACTCATGCATTAAATCGTGATGTCACTGGGGTCGTCTCACCAGACCGGGTCTAATTTATACAAGCCCAAATAAATCCTAATACCTAATGAATGTAATGAATGTAATGAATGCAATCCATGCAATCAATCCAATGTACACTTATCGATTGTGTTGGAATTTACAATTTACTCACTCGATATCTGAATAGGTTCCACAGCACATTGGATTTCGACGATGAACGTATTCGATTTCTCACAGTTTTCGACAGTTGGAACGATTCAAAAACAAATACAAACAATATATAAACCTAAATAAAAGACGGTATATTCAACCTTGAGTGTTTTCTGACGTATTATATTCCCTTTTTTTTTTTAAAAGACTTTTCCAAGTTTAACAAACTTCGGAGACTTTGAGACTTTTAACTCTTTATTAATTCAGATTTCTAGTTAATGAGAAGCCTGGAAAGCGACCACAGAATTGCTCCAGCACCGCACGCCAGAGAAGCCTTCAAAACGTTATGCAAGATCTTAAGACTGTGGGGATATGAAAATTAAAAAAAAAAAACATTGATATCAAGAAGATACGTTTTAGACAATAAACCTTCGGGAGAAAAAAGTCTTACCGCCTTAACAGCTTCAGACTCTGCGCTATGGACTCGGGAGTGTGGGGATCCTTGGCCAAATACAGTCGTACGCCAAGCAAGGCCTTGTTGAAATAGTCAGTCCAATCCAAACTCGCCATGTCGAATTGATAGATGATGCGATCTTTAGCCGACATGAGTTCTCGCAGTCGGTTCGTGTTCTTCGTATCGAAGATAAAGGTTCTCCTTGTAAACGGCCCCAATAACGCAATATTTTTGTGAATCTTCTGGTAAAGGTCCACCATCCGAGGCTTCCGTCCCATAAGACGAAGTATCAGATCCATGAAATAGCCAGGCAAGATATGATAGAAAAAGGCACCCATGGCGAAGAGCCATGGATTCGAGACGCAATTAATGAACGGGTACCACACCATCTTGGAGAGTGGGAAAATGTCGCGACAAGCAAACGATAAGTCGATAAATCTCCCAAAGGTAATCACGTTGTTATCGCTGGGTGCCAGCGTGTATATGGTCGGTTTTCCTTCCACTGTGCCGCTCTGTGCATTCTGATCCGCTTTCCATGCGCAGGCCAATGCAGCGTTGGCGCTATAATCAGCTGGCACCAGGCCGATATGCGCCTTAGTGTTGACGCACATTATGCGCAGAACTCCCCGAGCACCGCCGAAGATTAGGGCAATGGGCCCGTACAGATTGTCAGTCCAACCAACGACGGGCTCCTTGTAGGTGGGCACGACTGTGGAGAGTCATGTTACACAATGTTTCAGTTCCATCCAAGGCCTTGCATCATCTAAGGAAAAACTTACTAATGGCCGGCCGAAAAATGCACACGGGCAGGTCGCCCGCTTCCCGCAGGATCAAGTCTTCCCCCAGAGCCTTTGTGTATGTGTAGGTGTTGGGATACGATCCGAGCAGAGCTGGGGTCATACTGTCGATCAGTTGATCACTTAGCTGTTCGCGAATGTCCAGCACCTTGTCGGAACTGCAGCTCAAGTGCTCAGGGTAGAACTTCTCCTCGACGTGCGTCACCACACAGTTCGAGTAGGCTGTGGATATATGGACATAGGCCTGCAGGTGCACCATCTGCTTGGCCAGCTGCACCATTAGTCGCGTGGCACGGGTATTGATATCCAGGGCCAAGTGCAACGCCTCATCGAATCGAACTGTGGCTGCTCCGTGAATGACGATCTGCACCTCAGATGCCAGCAGCCTGCGGTCCGCCGCATTTATGCCCAGGTCTGGTGCCAGACAATCTCCAGCGATCGGTACAACGCACTGCATGGCTCCGGGCTTGGACTTTAAGAGCTCTTCGAACACCTTGATGGGGTCTGGGGTATGAGCTCAAGATTCATTGACATTGGTGGGCCCACCATTACTCACCACATCTTTCTGCCATTTGACAATGCGTTCCCGAATACTCTCACCTCGCTTGGGTCTCATCATGGAATAAATGCGCTTCACCTCCGTTGACCGCAAAATTTTCTCAATGATAACTGAAAGGCAAAAGAAATTCACAAAAAAACTGCACTTTGGGGTCGGCCGTTTGGACTTTTTCTTATTAATATTTTCCATTTATCATTTTCCATAGTAGAGAATATTTTATAGAGAGTTTGTAAGCTGTTCCACATACTTTTTCCCAAATAACCTGTTCCACCAGTTAGGAAAATGGTTTTGCCTTTATAAAATCCCTGGATATCGGAATCCATTTTGATGTGAGACTTTGATTGATTGCCGCCGAGTAGAAGTGTGGCTTGACTGAAGAGTAATTCCAGTTTAGTGCCGCTATTTATATGGACTAAATAATTTCCACCCAACAAAGGTCAGTCTGCAAAGTCAGCGCTCAATTCAATGCGGAATTCAAATCAGTTCGTGCACACGTATATTGTATATTATAAAGCCATAACAAGAAAGGAATCGTTCAACTATTGCAACTGTTTTGGGCATGGGCAAAGAAAGCACTTCCCCCTTTTAATTTATTCAAAAACACCAAAATAACTCTAATTCGAGCATATAATATGTACATATTGTACTATATACCATATCACACAACGACCCTGATCAGCGACCATACAATGAAAGCAGCAATGCACCCGAGGATGACCTGTAGGAGGTGGTGCCACATCTTCAGCCTATAAGTGCAGAACCGAGTGCCACAGATTCAAAAAGAAATTCCAGTGATTTGCATTGAAATTACCTCTTTATCACTCGTAGGCCGTGTGCTATTGACTCTGAAGTCGGTGGATCCTGGCCCAAGTATAGTCTCATGCCCAGCAGGGCCTTTTCGAAATATTCCTTCCAACTTATGCTGGCCATGTCGAAGTCGTAGAGTCTGCGATCTTGCTCTGACATAAGCTCTCTCATCTTATTGGTGTTGTGCATGTCGAAGTACCAGCTTTTGCTCGAAAATGGTCCCAATATGCCCAGGGTTTTGTGAATCTTCTGGTAAACTTTAACCAACCGCGGCTTCCGGCCGCTCAGATAGAGCGCCAGATCGAAGATATAGGCGGGCAGGGTGTGATAGAAGAACGCTGCAATGGGAAAGAGCCACATAGTGGTGATGCAATGGAAAAACGGATACCAGACCATTTTGGTAAGGGGACACTGCATGCGACCATCTAGCGCATAGTCTTTGAATTCTCCATGCGTCAGGGAGTTGTCCTCGGTGGGTGCCAGTTGATAAATGATCGGATCGCTCTGTCGCTCATCAGTCTGTGCGGTTTTCCATGCGCAGGCAAGAGCTAGGTTGGCGCAGTAGTCGACCGGTACCAAGCTGGCCTGGGCCTTCACATCGATGGTGGCTATACGCAGGACTCCACGAGCCACGCCGAAAAGTATGGCAATGGGTCCGTATAGGTTATCAATCCATCCGGAGATGGGCTCCTTGTGGCTGGCAATGACTGCAATTATGAAGAACCATTGGTAAAGGAGCCCATCACACAGCACATTTCCATTTCCCAATCACTTACTAACAGCAGGTCTGAAGATACAAATGGGTAAGTCGCTCCCCTCCCTTAAAATCACGTCCTCTGCCAGGGCCTTGGTGTATGTGTAGCTGTTGGGGTGGGAGCCGAGAAGAGTAGGCGTCATGTTGTCAATAAGTTCGTCACTCAGGAGCTCACTCACACCCAGGACCTTATCCGAGCTGCATGTCAAGTGCTCTGGATAGAACTTCTCCTTGACGTGATAGATAATGCAGTTGGAGAAGGCCGTGGAGACGTGAACAAATGCCTCCAGGTTGACCATTTGCTTCCCCAACTGCACCATCAGTCGCGTGGCGCGAGTGTTGATGGCCAGTGCCACATGCAACGGCTCGTTGAACCGTACTGTGGCTGCTCCGTGAAGAACGATCTGCACCTCTGATGCCAGGAGCCTTCGGTCCGTATCGCTTATGCCCAGGTCCGGCTCCAGGCAATCTCCAGCGATGGGGCATACTCGCTGCAGAGCGTCTGACTTGGACTTCAGTAGGAGTTCAAAAACCTTTTCGGGAAATCCTGAATGAGAACCTGCTTTCATGGTAAGACTTTATGGCTGTTACGCACAGAATCCTTTGACCATTCGCTGATTCGCTCCTGAATTTCCACGCCACGCTTCGGTCTGATCAATAAATATATTCGCTTCACTTCCGTAGTTCGTAATAGCTTCTCAACGATAACTGAAATGCATTTAATTTAGATTTAACCTTCAATTAACTGCCAGTCGGAATGGAATGGGGAATACCTTTTCCCAAGAATCCGGTGCCACCTGTTAGAAAAACGGTTTTGTTTTCAAAATATTTCTGAATGGCACTTTCCATCTCGTGTTCCCCTAATTATCCGCTCAAAATGTGCTTGGCTGGGAGATAGTAAATGTCATGAAAGAACCCGTGCAGTGCAATATATGCAAACACAAAAATCATGGGCCGCGAGTCGCGAAGAAAAGCTTAAATGTAAGTGCACCTTTGTTTTGCAGCCGTTATATATAGCTTTCTTTATATATCTATGCATGCATATATTATACACGGTCGATGTACGCCGGTGCCAGGGCTGGGGACTATGACGCATTTGGCTCGCATTCTTGGCTCTTCTTGGTGTTATACGGTGGTGCTATGGATAAGAAAATAAACAATAACCATTCCATAAAAATAGAAATCGGTCTCTACTTGGGCGTGTATCCCTGATGCATAGGTATATTTACTCGTACATTACCTTCACGGGGGTACATATTTATATGGCTGATTTGGTACCCAAATGCATTTTAAAGAATGTCAAAAGTCATCAATAAATTTGTACAATTCACACAGAAAAACCGCCGAGTGCTAAAATTTATTGCTGGCTGACGAATTGCCTTCAAGTATGTTCGAGTTATTGCGCGGCGGCGTCTACTGTATTAATGATAGAGTATTTATTAACTAATTTCAGCACTTTTTTTTCTACATATCTACATATTTATGTCTGTCTGGCGGTCAGTCTCTGTTTGTCGCGATTGACGCATAGTTCTCAGAACTATAAGAGCTAGAGCCAAATTTTGCGTTCAGATTACTATAATATGACACCGAGCTCAGTGTAGTTCCAATTGTTTCTCAGCCCGTACCAATGCCGAATCCATCATATTTTAAAAAACAAGAAACTCGCAAGCATATCTAGCATTATTGGATCGGATCATTATTAAATAAGTCTGACCTCTCTGGCGTTGTTTTGAAGAGTGAAAGAGTTTTAGCGGACGGTGCGGTATGGAAACAGGTAGCAAATATTCTAAAATTCGAATCAAATAGGTCATTAGGTGGAAGAAGAATAAACAAAGTGCAAGAATTTGCAATTCATACATAGTACATTGTATACTGACTGAGTAATGGGTATCAGAACGTACCGACACGTTTTTCTTAATTTCTTAAGGAAATTTACGAAAAAGGGGCATTTTTTTAAAATCAAATAAAATGTATCATTTTTCGAGAACTTTTCGTTTTAATGGGATTCTTATGGATGTTGAAACTATATATCACGAAATGTTTCTGGGGAATAGGAATTCCATCAGACAGATGCTTTCACCGGCCAATAACAGAGTTAGTACCATATCCATAGTGCAGACGGGACACTCCCAAAAGCCTAAATCAGTTCTTTTTTTCCTCTACACCTACATATGAGCAATCAAATTGTCGGAGTTTGAATTTAAAAATTCCGCCAAAGTGATGCCGTATCAACGAAAAATGGTTCGTCAAAATCTAATGTAATGGTTCAACAGGTTGCAAGCGGACTATTGCTATTTTTAAACGGTTGAGACAAATGATAAAAAATATAATGATAACAGTTTCTAATTTTTCCCGTCAATGTGGTCAATGGTTATTTTCAGAGCAACTTCAATCCAGAAATCTTTCTAGCCCGATTCCGGTGAACAGTGTTCCGCACTTCTCGGTACTCAAATTTGAATAGATTTTTAACTTTTAACTAATTATACTTTCATCCTTTTTTCCCCACCTTTCGATTCGGTGGGACTGGGACAACTTTTAAAAAGTCCGCCAAGTGATGCCCTACCGACGGAAAATGGTAGCCAAGATCCGGCAGTTCATACAACGAACTTGTCGGAAACGTCGGTATGTTTTCAAAATAAAACTGTTTATTTTGGTATATTTTAAGGGTCAGACGGCCACACTGCAGCTCATACATGGAACGAAGACATGAGTCGGGAGATCACAATTTGGAATGGGCTATAGAAAGAGGGTTTGGACAACAGGTAAAAAAGGCAATGAAAATTGGTTCCTACGAACCCCACATGTGTGTTTTGAGGACAATCTTCAAGGTATATTTTACATGGCATGCGTTTCATTTCCTGAACCGTCTTGCCCTGTTTTTCTACCATGCTCTGAAAAAATGTCGTTGATATGTATCAAACTTGTAGTTGCCGTGTAGTTGCCATGTAATAAATTGAGTAAACGTCAAAAGTTGTAAAAATTTCATTAATCTATTTTTTAAAAGGTATATTTAAGAAGACAGGGTATAGAAATTCCATACGCAGGCTTTTTTAATTTTCGCTCACAAACCGTACTTACGTGTATCATTTATTCCAATAGATTGCATTTATATCTTTTTTGCTTATTAAATTTTTTGTTTAAACCTTGTTTTCTACACTATACAATAAAAGAAAGTACTTAAAAGTAGTCAATCAGTAGAAAATTGATTCATTAATCGGATAAAATTATGTGGGCATGGCTAAATGTTCTATATAGCTGGGAATATTCGACGGAAGATCAAAAACGAGGAATATGTATAGTAGAACTTGATAAATAACGATAACTTGATAACGATAAATCAGCTGTCACAAAGTTGTATAATTTGTTTCCTCGGAAATGGCATGCCGTAAATTGTTTCGCGTTCTTCAAAATAATCATCCAGCTCTAAAACGGAGCATTGCCATGTCGCGCTCACTACGCTCCACCGAGGAAGCCGTGGAGAAGCTGAAGGAAAGCAATCCCTACTATTGGAAGTATGCGGAAAAGATTGCCAAGATTCAGCAGACGTCTGCCGAGGAGTTCCTGGATCGTGTTGAGCGCGTCGTGAATCCAATTAAGGATGGCCAAATCCAGGCCAGGTAAGAAACGACCATGGCTGGAAGCAGTTGCAATAAATAACACTATTTGCAGGACTTATTCCGAGCTGTTGAACCCCAAAGAGGAGCTGGCCAAGCAAGAAGCGGCTGAGCTGCCACACAAGAAACTGTCGGACATCATGAAGCTCGAACTGCTGGCCGACAAAAGCGCAGAGGAGTTATCGCAGATCTGGATCGAGTACCACAAGACCAAGGATGTGCTGGCAGCCACCCTAACCAAGGCTCAGTACGAAACCTTGATGGGCCGCGCCAAGGAGCATCCAATTTTCCTGCTGCCATTGCCGCGCAGCGAGGGATTCGAGTTTTTCTTGCTGCAGTTTGCAGCCAACACGGTTCACTTCACTCCACTGCTGGCCTACCAGGTGCATCACGAGAATGCCCCCGAGTGCCTAACAGTGGTTCATTACACTGAGGTGCAGGACAAGGGCGTGGTGCTGATGCGCGGTGAATACGACACTAAGGTACTGACCGCTCAAGAGGCCCAGTGCCTGGCGAACGAGCTGCAGATGTTCTACTATAAGACAGACGAGAGCAAGATGAAGCTCCTGGAGACCTTTACCAAGCGTCCCGATGAGTTCAAGCACACGGATCTCATCAAGGAGGTAGAAAACATTCAGCTGGCATAGACACTGACAAATTCGTCAAAATAAAAATACGATAAATAAACGGTAGCTGCACGTCTATCCCTCTGTAAATTTACGGCGTATTTCGGCTTGGACTAGGAAGCAGTATGCATCAGCATCTGTCCGAGTTTGACGTCGTTATGGAGCAGATTGGTAAATGTCAATTCATTTTCATCTCGGAACAACTAAGAGCCCCCGGCACACAGGCTTCGGCAAAGTTCATCTGTTTGCCACTGTGACTCTGGGACTGCTCCAGATGATGGCCATTCTGGAGACAATGGGCATGGGAATTATTGGACCGGCGGCGGTCTGCGATCTGCGGATGAGTCTCATGCAACTTACTTCGATTTTGGCGGCCGGTTTTATGGGTATAATTTGCTCCTCGTACTTCTGGGGCTACATTACCGATAAAATGGGTCGCCGTTGGATCCTCTTGCGCACCATTTCGGTGAGCAATATTTGTTCGGTCATTTCCATGTTCATGGTTAGCTTCTCTGGCTTCTATGTAATGCGCTTCATGACGGGAATATTGTAAGTGGTTTTTGTTCTGCAGCATGCACCTTTCATCTAATATTTTCAACGCAATCAGCGTGGCCGGGCCTAGCTTTGTGGCAGTCACCTATCTTAGCGAGTTCTGCAACAAGCAGATCATGTCGCGCGCCGTAACCCACTTGTACATGTTCACGGGTTTCGCCATGTTGTACAGCCCTGCGTGGGGGACATTATTTCAGGCACAGACCTATATGGACTTCGAGTTGGTGATATCGGGGAGGCTAACTGTTCGGCCCTGGCGTATACTTGGCTGCATGTTCACATTGCCCGGATTGATTGCGTTCTTCCTGTTGCTTCGCATGCCAGAGAGTCCCAAGTTTCTGTTCATGATTGGTGAGACCCAGAAGGGCATGGATGTGATGGACTGGGTGTGCAGAAAGAACACCGGCCGGTCCCTCAACCCCGAACAAGTCGCGAATATGCTCAAGTTTCAGAAAAAAGTGGAGGTAAAGCGCCAGCAGAATGCCAACAATATCCTATTAACGATGCTCAATGATGCCATGCCACTGTTCCGGAAGCCCTACGTCTGGTATTTCGTGAGCGGCTGTGCGGTTATGTTTGTGATGGGCTTGCTGTGAGTGGAGTGTAGTCAATGCCAAGACTGAGACTCCAGATATACATCCTTTCTGTTACAGGGCCAACGGATTGGGGATCTGGTATACTTCAATGCGGAATCGAGCAAATATGCGCATAGGACCCAAGGAACATATGACACTTTGTAGCCTTCTATTCGACAATATCCCTAGCCTAATGAAGGAATCCGAAGAGGACTTAAATATCGTTAGAACTATGCTCTCCATTATGCTCATCGTTTATCGAATCCCATCCTTAGGTCTGCAACGATGACCTGCATAGCTTCAACGATTCTCTCATTCTGGGTGCTACCTACATTATTCTATACAACGTATGCTGGCTGTTGCTCTTCTATGTGCCCCGAAAGGCCCTGTTGGTCACCTCTCTCGTCATTGCCTCCACCTGCGGATTTGCCATAATATTCGTATCCAACCATTTCATTCAGCTCTTTTCCTTGATATTCCTAGTTTCATTCCCGGGCTTGATAATTTCACTGATGGGCGGTGCCCTACTGGAGTTTGTGCCCACCTACATACGCGCCAAGGCTCTGTGCATCAGTCTTATGTGGTGCCGTTGGGGCGCTGCCGTGGGAGCGACCATTGTCGGATCGTCTATTGAGAAGCACTGCGAGATAACTCTATTGGCAATGGCAATTCTGCCTCTGTGTAAGAGCCAGATTCGAATCCTGCGTCCACGAACTAATTATGTTTTACTTTTTGCAGTTGCCGCAAGCCTTGAATCATTTTTACCATTGTAAGCGATGTGCAACATCATACGACAAGATGTATCAAAATAGAAAATAGATTATACACTTATGAAAGGCCCGAAAAGTAGGCAACGGAATGTGAACGGCTTTATTCCGATAAATTCGAGAACAATTGTTTCCCCTTCCTTCTTGATTGTTGGGCCTTGACCATTTCTTCATGGTGTTAATACTTGAATTTATTGAAAAACTTTGTAGATCCATAGAGATTACAGATTGTGAAAACCAAATGAAAACCAAATCGATTCATCATTGCAGTTTATATTTCTTTTGTTTGGAGTAAGTAGGCGAATATTTTGGTTAGTTAATATATGTCATTTATTTAACTAACATCAAGATTAGATGGAAGATATATCTAACCGTAAGTATTAAATATGCAGCTGCAACTAGATCTAATTTCTCAACACGTTAAACTATTGCCCCGATAATAACTAATTGAATAACAACAAATAAATGAGTTTTAATCGTCGTCATGGTCCACGGCATTTTGGTTTAGAATACCTCCTCCTCATCCAGGGCGCGGATCTGTGAGAGTGAGATTAAACAGATTTCTATATTGATACATAATCGTGTGTGTTCCCTTCCTATTCTTACCAACTCCCCGCCGCTGTTGATGCTTTTGGCCATATTGTTCTCCAGCTCCCGATTCCGCAGCATTTCCATCAGTGGACCCCCCCGCTTGCCGAACCGAACTCGTGCCCTGTCGCCATAGTAGGTGTCCAGATCCTGCAAGAACTTGTACGCATCCGCCATGGTATTGACGTCATTCTTCCGTGGTGGTCTCGAATTGGATGCCTCCACATTGCAGCCGGCGGCGATCAGTGTAAGTGCCACGCAGACAATCAGAATGCAACGCATTGTATTGGACATGATGCAAATTGCTGGGGAACATCGAAAAACGGAAAAGAAAGGGTTGGGTTAGTATGAGGTAAGGGTATTGCTAATCTATTGAAACCCAAGGATAAATTACATTATCAAGTGTGAGCTAATTGACATCTCTGGCCATATATTGCGGCTTGTTACTCAGCCATTTGGGTTGGGTTGGGGTTGGGTCTTCGTAGGGCCAGATTTAATAACTGGCATTCTCGTATGATAATTTATGGCTAGAGTCATGGGGTGAGCGGGCTAAATGGGCGAACGGGCTGTCCTCTGCTTTTGCTGACGACCGTTTTCAATGATTTGGTTGTGGCGGTACTCTGACGCAAGTTGCTGCTCGTACTTTTCCCATCCAGAGCCTCGTTATATATAACTAATAATTACAACCATTATATAGCAGTTAGCTTCTACTTAAGGTCACTCTGACCTATGTGAAACGATGCAATTACGAATCAGAACTCTACTGCCTGAGAAAAGTCATACATAACTTTTTGATACAGCTTTCTCGACTTATTCCGAGAACAAAGATTAGTTTTTTGTCTTAAAATAGACACTTTTAATCGTCCAAATGAACTCTCGAGAACTTAAGCTTAAGTTTTGAGTACACAAGGCTTTTGTAACTACATGTGATAACCATCCTTACCCGTTCAAGATTACCACTGCTACAGTTGAGTATTTTACAAATGGATGTGATCTGGAATCACAGCACACACAGGGAGAGCACAATGCAATTGGTCACCGTCACCGAAGTGTGTAAACAGCGGACGCAGTCGTGAATAAATGTTGGCCAAAAGACATTGGCAACAGGTATTTATAGGGGCCGAAGCGTGCCATGATGCAGAAGGATACGAGTATACGCGCTTGGCCTTATCATAGCCGGGCCGCCCACCACATCGCAGCGAACAAATGCGGAACGAGCGGAAATTGGCGGACGGAGCGAACCGAACACCGCGCGAAGCCTCTAAAATATTTTCATATGCAATATAATTATGTGGCTGCTCTGCTCCTGTGTTTCAAGTTTTGCAGCAGCTGGAACGGAAAAGCGTCTGACATTGGCAGTGGGAGTGGTAGCATGCGAATGGGATTCGCTTTTTGTTTTGGAATGGAAATGGAAATTAGAATGGGAATGAGAATGAGAATGCCAGCGAGCAGGGTCAGGAAAGGGGGCTGGCTGGATGGGGATGGGGATGGGGATGGGCATGGGGAGCACAGGCGCTTGGAAATTGTCGACGGAGATTGTTGAGCGCTAACAAATAATGACAGTTGGCTAACGAGATATCCAGAGCCGCAGATAGAGAATTACGCATAAATGAATAAATGACAAATTTTCGATAAGAAGGATTAGCGCCTGCTGCGCCACCTGAATGGTGCATACTACTCGTTGAATTGATTTATGGGAACCGGCTGCCGGCCAGTCCTCCTTCCTGGGCCATCGAAATGCCAATGGGTCGGTCGCCTCTGGTTCCCTGCCGGTTGGCAACCCTATCATTAATTATAATATTTTGATTATTGTTTAATAACTGTTGGCTTAGTTGGCGACGCTAATTGCGATACGCGGCGCGACGCCATCGGGCATGGCATTACATCAACTGCTCGACTTTGCTTTGCCGTTTAACTTGGGGTCAATACGGTGAGGCAATTTCAATAGCACTTCCCCGTGTTCGAGTGCGGGTGCGTATACGTAATGCGGTTCTCACTCGCTACATGGCGTGTACGATGTGACGTCACGGCGACCACTTCTTCTGTGGGTATATGGTTATGTTATTAACATAATATTTGTTATAAACGTTCTAGCTAATTATCACTCTAGCGTTTACTTTGCTGTTGTTTTTTGTCATCGTCGCTGTTCTCTGGCCTAGCCTACGCTGGATGGATACCTATTAATGTTGTGGCTGTCGCTGTTGTTGCTGTTGCTGTTGAGAATATCGTACAAATTAAACTTGTTAGATATTCATTTGCGTTGAGCGGTAGCTTTTCATATTTAAATCTAATTGCCATCCAACATTGTTGGTTCCTCATTGTTCGTCTGAGAGTTTAGCTCCAGTTCCAGTTCCATTAACCGCTGCTGATTGCCATTGATTGCCCCTTCCCTTCCCTTCCCGCCTTAATAATTGGAGCCACTATGATCTATTAAAGCCTGTACATTGCAGGTCAGTCTGATACATACGAGTAGGTCAGCTTTCGATCGTACTTTCCATATGCTTACCTTGTCGCCCGTACAACATTTAGATGTAAGTTTACTCGGGCAGCGCACAAAGAGCAATCAAGGTCCAGAGTCACTTTCTGGGTTTTTGTAGGCAGTCTAGTCTGGGAAGCCCCCAGCAAAAGAGCGGTCGATCTGGTTCAAGGATGTCAGTGGCTCGTAGTTCCGCATTGAGAGCTGCTTGCTGCTGGGCGCGGTAGGTCTCTTGCAGCGTGTATGCATCTCATTGTTCTCTGCGGACTACGATTCGGCTTCGCTTTTGTCACCTTTCATGTGCTAAAGCGGCAACGTCATCAAAACCTGTCAAGACAATGCAAAGGCTAAGAGTCCGGCGGTGCAATTACTCGAAAGTGCCTCGTTTTTGTTTAGTCAGATACTGTTATAATTTTAGATATGAGGGCAGCTTGCATGTCAGATGTCTGGGGATCCCCGTACCCATGGCCATGGGCCAGCCATTTCTGGTTGGGGACATAATATATGGTATTTGCATGCCAATCCCCAATTTTCAGCAAAACTCTGAGAATTTTAGAGAACAGAACCATTTTCCTCCGTTTGTGTAGACGTAGATGTAGATAGATGTTAATAATCCAGCGTGCTTCTGGGGATTCTGGGATGATCCGCTGCCCCCTGCAGCTCGTTAAAAAACTACTTAGCTTAATTGAGCGTTTAATGTATGCGAAATAGTTGGAGACTCTGGTCGGATAGGTTTAAACTTGTCTCCTCGTGTGTACAATTTCGTTCACTGAGCAGCTTCGTGAACATTCCGTTGTTGGTTCCTGCAACAAACTTTTTGGGGGCTTTCCTCGCCTTGGGGATGTCAGCTAATTGGGCAGAGGTTACCTACTAGACAATCGTAGACCTTATTTGCAACCAAATGATAATTGTACCTCAAAATTTCACGGCTAAATAACAACATTTGCGTATATTTGCCCATTCGCCTGTTTGTGTTTGGTTTTCTATATCATGCAAATATTGTTCTATATCCGACAAGTTAGTCAGATTCTTGGTATTTACAGTGAACTTTTCCACTTTCCGACTGGGAGAGAGGGTTTAAAGGTTTGTTCATATACGTCAAAAAAACATATGTGTCGTACTGCAAAAACCAATATTTAGCTTTGTTTAAATTCATAGAAACTTGTTAGATCATTGGTTTTCGGGTGTGAAACTATATTTCAACGGGTTTCAAAAAACTTTACGATAGATAGGGTTCTTCTTTGCATTCTAAAGGCTTGGAAAGGAGTGATAGATATACGAATGTCCCCCATTTATTGTACTTTTCCGAATCAATGAACTAAAAAAATTAGTATGTATTGTTTTGCCATCTATTAGCGGTTTGAAATTTAGGAAAGCTTCTTATGGGAAAGCTTTTAGCTTAGCCAGGACACACCGCACCGTTCTGGGCTAGCTTTTGTAATGGCGATATGGAAGTTTCTAGGAAAGCATAAACAGTGTCTAGACGGAAGGGGGACTTTGTGGTTAGCCATAATTGCGGCACGAGCTGCTATAAACAAACAAACAACAACAATTATCCAGGGAGCAACAGCAAAACATGGGATAATGGCGACATGCATGTCAAGTGATAGTTAGTGTAGTGAACCGAGCACATTCGGGATCATACGAGCTGAGCTGGTGACGCTGTGCCAAGAGTCCAGACATAGCCCCAGAACCCCAGGCAATTCCGGGTAATACGGGGCAATAAAAAGAAAATGGCAATTCTCAGACAAATGTTCATAATCGTTTATAAGCACAAAGAGAGAGAGAGAGAGACGGAGAGAGAGCACTGGGAACTCGTTAGAGGAAACAGAACGCAGCACGCATCAGGCATCACGTGGCTGCAAGGGATCGGACCGCATCGATCGCTCAAAGGTTCCTCCTATAGTGTCTCTGGGTATATTATGTCCAAGGGAAATAGGTCAGCCACTAACGAGACAACTGGAAAACAGTAAGTAGACACTATTATTAGATTTACTGTCTCCAGATTTGTTAACTGTTCTTAGTAGTGGGCTGATCGGCTGATCGGTTGATCGGGTGATCGAATGCGATCGGGGACCTAGTGCCCTGCACACCATCAATTAGTATCAAACTACATAGCGGATGGCTAATTATCAGAACAGCCAGTTAATAGCTAATCGTTATTATCTGCTAAGAATCAGAACTGGATGTAATTGCGTCAAGAAGTGGCTTTTAATTGCGGGCAAAACTTCATGCATATTTATACTGGAAAAGGGCACGGGCACGGGCACGGGCACGTGTGCGTGTTCACTGTACATATAGCTCGAGTTCTGCCAGAGATTAAATAGAGTCATTTGTGGCCATTAAATATATGAAAAAACAATTTGCGAAGCTAAAGCGATCTCGAAAAGCAACGCCGAACCCACCTAACCCTCTGGCCAGAATCATTCTAACTAACTCAAGTCGTCGGACCCCCAGTAGCACCCCCCCCCCTGTGTAAGGGGCGTGCCGGAGATAATACCTCAGTTAGGGGGTTCTTACCACAGACATGTAGACTTAATGTTCCTCCGATGTTTTTGTGTGTAGTACCCGTATTCGCGTGTTCCTCCGCTAGTGATAGTGTACGCGTAGTACCTGGGACAGAGCCGAGCTCGAGCTCGGGCCCGAGCAGAGGCTTGAATGGGGACCGGTTCACAGAAAGATTTTCGCGCTTTGGAACGAGATGCTCGCTGCTAGACACTCGGTCGGGGCTCGGTCTCGGTCTCGTTCGGGCTGGGGTCGATCCGAGCTCTGCTCCGCTCGGCCCAATAGTCCATATAAAGGTCCCCACTGCAGTCTAGATCGCCGCATTAAGTTGTCAAAATCTGTGGGAATAGGAAGTGCGTGACAGTCGATTCAAAACAAAACACATCACAACTTAACAACAGCGACAGCGACAGCGAAAGCCTAGCAACGGATCATTCTAACCCTCGTAGAAAGAATAAAGTATCAGCTTAGACGGGATCCGAAACGGAACAAAACGGATCAGATCAGATCGGATCGGGACATTCGATGTGCAGTGAAGTCAAGTGGAAAATAGCCAGGAATAATTAATTTTGTATAACGACAAGTTTACTGCCGTTTAATGCACAGAGCCGCCTAGTTGTTAAATTCAACTATTATTTTTATGATATATGAAAATCAGAACAAATTAATACGCTGCAGGGGCCATGCAAATTGATCCCCCTGATCGGTAACGGCATAGGAATCGGAATTTTAATCTGAATCAATCTCAATCAAAAAGCTGGATCGGCAGACCTGTTAATAGTTTAATTTGCGGCCATAAATAATAACACAAAGATTAATTGATTTTCGTCATAAATCAGTAAATAACCAATCAATTTCCAAGCGGTTGCGATATCCATACCGAAACCGCCCCCCGCCCGATCCAAAGCAAAGCAAAGCCGTTCCTTTCCTTTCCATCAAGTGCAATCAGTATAAGAAAAGTAACATAAATCCGGTCGGTCAGAGACACATTTTCAAAGTGCTGAAATGAAACTATTTACCAACAAAAACCAGCGCAATGCAAGTGAGTATAACCCAAAATAGCCAAAACGACGGCTCTCGACGGTCTTAATTAAGCCATGCGACCGTTGTCCACATTGGTCAAAGCCAAAGACCCATAAAAGCTAACAATTCGAACCGCCTTTTAACCAACCAAGGGAGCAGCAAGCAGCAAGCAGCCAGCAGCCAGCAAGCCAGCCCCCACGCGATCGTAAAAACGTCAGCAAAAAGCGAACAAAATCTTGCACAAAACTGCTCAAATTGCTTAGATTGCTAAAACTGAAACTGAAACTAAAATGTAGTACGGATTGTGCAAAGTTTTAAACGTCTGTGCATGCTAATCAAGCAGATCTCTCAAGTGTTTGAAATGTCTAGCAATCTCACTCAAGTACTCTCAAGTAGATATCCAGATTCCCAGATTCCCATATTCCCAGGGGGTAACGATTTATTAGCACCTTCTGAGATAGTTCTAATGTAAATTGTACACACATACATAGAAATGTGCACATGTAGTGTGGCAGGTCCGTTGACCAAATTATTTGACAGCTGGCACACGCTCAAATATTTATTTGAATTTATGTTCGATTGGCGGGATGGGCGGGCCAGCTCCAGCTTTGTTATAACGAGCAGGCTAAAGTCCGAGCCGAGAATGTTTTGCATTCAGATTAGCCAAAAATAGAATCTGTGAATTAATTAATTGCTTTAAAACAAACAAACGTAAATTGTATTAATTATTGCTTTCTAGGGCTATTGTTTGTCACAGCTTCCCAATACAACAATAGTTCTCTTCTCGGCCAAGGCTAATAGCTTAATATCAAAGCCAGAAAAAAGGGCAAATCAAAGCTTCCAATTTGCATGACAACAACCAATGAATGAAGCTTCGAGCCACCAAGGGCGTACCATAGGGTTCTACTGGTACACATTGTTGACCAGACCAGACCAGAGCAGACCAGAGACCAGAGACCATTCAATCTCATATTGTACGATTATATAGGCTTAATTCATATTCATTATACGATAGTCCGTTTATAATAGCTGTCATATACTTGCACTTGTACTTGTACTTATACTTGTACGTAGATGCTAAACCGTTTAGGCAAAGGCATTGAAAATAAACTGATTCCAAAGTTTAGTCTTCATCCGTACGTGTATGTGTATTAACGGATCTATCTGGACGGTAATGCAATTAAGTTTGAATAAATTAAGATTTGAAATGAAATCGGTTGTGACTGAAAATGTCACGTATTACCTTACCATGAAGTTCGATGATTTCAATCAACATAAACACGGTGGGAAAACTGAAGGTGAACCGCGGCGATGATTGCCATTGCCCAGCGAGATTGACCTGATAATATGATCACATTGTATTGTAAGTACACATATTTCCAGACCAATACCAGGCCAGGCATCAGACGATCACAAAGTCGATCCCTTGAAATCATTCAACTTTCTGACCGGGCCGGGATGGGATGGGACGTGGGGCATGACTTGCACTTGCACTGCTCTTAGAAATTCCTAAGAACAAATTAACTAATTTACCCAGAGCTCTCATAATAAATCAATACAATCTACAACTCAATGCCCGCTTAACAATGCAAATAACAGCTATTGTACAAGCATTAACAATGGCAAAAACATCACACATCGAACAGCTAGAGCTATAGCCCCAGCAGCAACAATGTACAATATGGATATAGAGTATGTATGTATATAGAGTACAACTATCCGTTTCAAAGGCGTACCGTATACAAATCGTACAAATCGGATCAGGCTGAGAGCGATCGGATTGGGGAAGTTGTAAAACTGCTTATATTACATATTTACTTTTCCTTATTGGCAGTCATCTAATTGTCAGCGAGACTTTGACTGCGACTATTTAAGGGTTTTGGGTTTTTCGGGTTTTGGTGATGATTAAAAGCAAATAGCAACAACTACAGGATTAATCATTAGCTAAACACAGCCAAACAGGCAAACAAACATCGTCATACGACAGAGCAAAAAGCTAACAAAACCAACGGAACGATCGGCACAAGCCAGAGACCAGTCGAATGAATCTCCAGTGCGAAGCGAGCGTATCTTGTGGATACACGAGCGCGAATCTCGCCTGGCTGGCTAGTCGACTAGGCCCGACTCGAACTCGATCCGGCGGCTAGCGCATATTTGCCTAATTTATTGTCGTTTGACGGAAGTCACACACTCGGAATCGGACTCGGACACGCACGCACACCCGTGCAAGTGAGCACTCGGGCTCACACGCTCTTGAAGGTGGCTCTAACACATTGACGTTCGGTTCGGCGACCATCTGTCAGAAACAAAACATATTCATTCTTGACATTTGTGGGTCATACTCAGACCCTTCCGCTGTCCGTCGCCGATCTTTGACTCAACATCGGAACAAAAACAGACAAAAGCAAAAGCAAAAAAAAAAACCCAAAAATCTCCATCCATCCGTCCGTAAGTCTGTGTGCATTTCAAGACAGTTTTAATTTTCAGGTTTTTATTTGTATACTAACCGGCAAATTGCATCGAACTTGAACTTCAGACCGCTGCAGAGGCAATGCCAGACGGCAGCAGCTCATACTTAGTAACTGATATATCTGTACGGTATGCCTCATGGCGCCTCACTCTGACTGATATTGAGCCGAGGCTTGCTGTTGCTGCTTTTCCCACTCCCTGCTGCTGCTGCTGCTGCTGCTGCTGCTGCTGCTGTTGCTGTTGGCTGAAACAAGTTCAGAGCGGAGCGCACACTGAAATCAGCTGGCGCTGGTGTGCGATCAAGACAAGCGTCGTCTTTCATTCATACCATAGTGACGCCGGAGCCGAGCCGAGCTGAGCTGAGCTGATGATGCTGATGTTGATGTTGATGTGGTTAGGTCTCGTGTTCGACAATCTTTCAAATTGTCATCGTCGCTTCGGCTTTGGCCACTGCTTTGGCAATGCAATTGTTGCATAATGCCACACTCTTCGCATTTATCTATCTATCAATGGAGATTTGTTGGGGTTTTGCTTTTTTTGGTTTTTGGCTTTGGTCTTTCCATTGCACCAGAATAATTTGCGACTCTTTGTCTGCGGCTTAATTTATGGATGTGGCCATTGATATCGGAAATTTCTGCTGTCACGCTCAAGGCAAGGATATGTATGAGAGGCATAGAGCCTATGTTTCCTCTCTCAACGAAATCGCAAAATATTTTATTTAAATGTATTACTGGTTTTATTCGAACCTTTGAGGCGGTCGGTCGCCATGTCGCATCGCGGTTTGTTTTGATTGTGAAATCTTGAACCTATTTCTGACACCAAAGTTGACACCAAAGCAAAATTGTTAATGTGTTTATGCTGTTTGCCTCTCAGTATCAGTCTCCCAAGTCTCTCCGTGGAGATTGTGCTATTTGGAATTTAGCTAGGGGCTTGTTAGCCAGTTAGCCAGTTAGCCAGTTCATTGATCTTGGCAGGTGCCTGGTTTCCGTTCCTATTTCATTAGAAATGTCTATTATTTGGGCAACAATTCATGTTCGTTTCTCTGATATATGGGCTAAGATTTCGCATTTGATTAATGAACGCACGCAGGCCACCGAAAGTGATCTTCAATGAACGAACAAACGGCCATGATCGCTGGAAATCGGCCACATGAGTAGTGATGAGTAGTGAGTGTTGGTGGGGTGTGACCATAGTCTGGATTAGGCCCAGACTGGATGCCAGGCCAGGGCACGGCTCGAGTGCGGAAGTGAAATAAGTATCAAGTGTGCAAAGACAATAATCTTTAAGGAAGGTGACACGCTTTGAAGCCGAGAATAACGAGTTCGTAAAGTCGTAAAGTCGTAAAGTGAGTGATTTCACTTGAAGTTAATATGAAATCTGAAATATGTGCAGCATAGATTGATATGTTGCGATCTGATCGGATCGCCTTGCCTTGCCCGTCTTCCCCTCTTCCGTGCTTTTAATATTCTAAACAAGGCCAAAGAAACCCGCTTTCGAGGCTTTTCCTATAGGAATAAACAACCAGTCAAGTAGTTGTCCCTTCCCATTCCTCTTTTCCTGGAACTATTTAATCGAAGAACGTTCATTGAACCGTCCATCGATTTTCGGGCATCGTCATCGTCTGGCTGCGTCATTGTTTTGCCTGTGTTTTGGTTCCTGCTCTTGCTCCTGCCATTGAGGTAGGTCGCAGATCTTTGCCCCGAAATGCAGCCTCGGTGAAGGTCAATAGCATGATGGACAGGCGCACGCGATACGTATCGCCGAACTGGAACTGGAACTGTGGCAAAGGCAAACCAGTTGCACTTCAACCGCTGTTGCATGACTACTCGTTCAACTATAACTCACCTGCTGATCTAATTTATTGCAGAGCTGCTGCGATGTGCTGCACTCGGAATGACCCTGTTGTTCTTTGGGTCGCTCATTCTGGTATCGGACCCGGTGCAGAGTATCTTGGATGTGGTGAGTCTCGTGGTACTACTGCTCACTACTAATATCCTGACTAATCATGGCCTAATACGCTACGCAGCAATTGAACCTGAAGCCCGGCAGTTTGCTCTACCTTTTGTGGCTCGATCCCCCCATCGATGTGTACATCAATGTCTACATGTTCAACTATACCAATGTGGACGCCTTCACGGACGGCATCGACACCAAGCTGAAGCTCGATGAGGTCGGCCCATATGTGTACAAGGAGGTGCTCACGAACCACAACATAACCCTGAACGAGGCCAACAACACGATATCCTATTCGCCGCGACGTGAGTACATCTTTGTGCCGGAGCGATCCGTGGGCGATCCGAAGGTCGATCACATTCGAGCACCCAACATTCCCTTGATGGGAGTGACCACCCTGGCCTCCAGCCTCTCGGTGTTTGCCTCGCTCGGGTTAAGTGCTGTTGCCAAGCGTCTGAACGCTCAACCTATGCTGGAGATGAGTGTCCACGAGTACATGTGGGGCTACGAAGATCATTTGGTCGAGCTGGCTGCCAAGTTTGTCCCCAGTTGGATTGATTTCGCCAGCTTCGGCATCATGGAAAAGGTCAATATCCCGTCCTCCTATAGCTTTCTCACAGGGAAACTGATTTCTGTATCTGTTTGTGTTGTGTTTTTCAGCTTTTCCGTGAGGGAAACGAGAGCAATGTGGTCAATATGAATTTGCCAGAGCTCAAGGATAAATATGGCGTTAAGCTACCCGGCTCTCCGCGTGGCTATACGCTGGACAGCATCAATGGAGAACGCGGATTCACGCGCTGGGAGTACGATGAGCAGACCAAGTGAGTGCCATGTCCATAGATCCATATAGAAACGAACTATAACTATATCTTTTGGCAGTGGGACGATGTGCAATCGCATTTGGGGCAGCCACGATGCCACTCTCTTCCCGCGTGATATAAACGAGAAGGACGCCTTCTATCTGTATCGCCGAACCTTCTGCCGTAAGCTGCCGCTGAAGTTCAATAGCACCCGGACGTACAACGGCATCGATGGGTACGAGTTTGTGATGGAGCCGGATGTCTTCGACAGTGAGCTGGGAAACCCAAATTCCTCGTGCTTCTGCAAGAACAATCGCTGCCTAAAGAAGGGCGTCGGCAGCGTCTCGCCTTGCTACTACAGTAAGCACTCATACTAATGGATGTAAGCTACTTCGATTACAACTCTCTTGTCTCTCTCTTGCCTAGACATTCCACTGGCCATCACCTATCCTCATTTCATGCATGGCGATCCTAGCCTTCTGGAACCATTCGAGGGTCTCCAACCGGACGAGTCCCGCTTCAGCTCTGTCTTCGTGGTGCAACCAGTAAGTGTCATAGAGAACCTTTCTTTCTGCGCCGTCTGACTGCAACCATTTTCCCTTCCTTCCATTCCAGCAACTGGGAGCTCCCATGCAGGGCACACATCTGCGACTGCAGGCCAATCAGGTGGTGGGTAAAGTGAACTTCAACAGCCTAATGGAACCCTTCGAGGATATGGTGCTGCCGCTGCTATGGGTCGATCTCAACATCGATGTGCTCTCCTTCAGCCTGCGGATGCTCATTCATGGAATCAAATGGGGCTTCCATCTGCTCCAGTGGACCGCCGCCCTGGGAATGCTGCTGGCCGGCGTTTACCAATTGTGTTCGGCTCTAATGGTTTGCTTCTGGCCCTCAGTCCACCAGCAGCAGTTCCTGAAGGTGGAGCAGGCCGAGAAGGGAGGTCGGCCTGGAAGTCTGACTCTAGCGGTGGCGACACTCCGCCAATCCTCGGTTGTGGCGTCGCTGCAGATGGCGCAGGAGCAGGAGGAGCAGCATCTGCTGTCCAGCGGCAGTAGTATTAAGCCCAATTTGCCAGACGCTTAGGCTTTCTAGAACTCAAGAAGGGATGATCCAAGGCGAAACTTGGGACGCCCACTGTGATATTATGAGTTAAGATTCGGTGTAAATTATTTGTGCTAATTGGAAACAACTTAGGGAACATTCTATGCTTACGTAATAGTTAACGATAACGATAACGCTAGGGGTACAGTTACTTGTAGCGTATGCAATGTACAGTTGAGTTGTCCTCTCGATAAATACAGGTCGATAGCTATGTAGTCGTTGATCGGTGATTTATCCTTTTGATCGGTTAATGAGAGGCAATTGTGTCTTCTATCCACTTCATGTAGAACGATGTGCGAGTGTAAACATCCGGGAAGCCCTCCAGGGCACAGCCCGACCCAAAAGAGGTGACCCCGACCAATATCCAGGGTCCATTGTGGCTGAGGCGACACTGCAGCGGTCCACCGGAGTCGCCAACACAAGTACCACCCTCACCGTTCAGCTTGCCGGCGCACAGATGGCCGCCATGGATGTTAACAAAGCTGCCGTAGGCATCTTTGCACCTGGAAGTGTCGTATTGCATAAGTGGTGACCCATCATCCAGTAGGAGGAGGCTCAACAACTCACCTGCCATTCTGGTGTAAAGGAACTTGCGTCTTCAGCAGCTGGCTGGACAAATCACCACTGATGTTGGCCTTGCCCCAGCCGGTGGCCACACAGTCAACGAAGGCCATCTCGCGCGGGTCGCTGTCCCCGCCGTTCGGCTTGAGATATTTCTGTTCAACAGAGTCTCCAATAGGCCTTGGGTCCAGCTTCATCAGCTTGTCGTTGCGCCGTCGCGTGCGCTTCAGGCTGCGCGGGGAGGAGCGCTGTGCAAGAGCCTGGCGCATCCGACTTAGGATCTTCATGTTCATGAGCTCCCTCATGCTGGGGGAAGTCACATTCCGGTAGCGCCGTCGACTCTGGACGCTGCGCAGAAAGTTATCTATCTTCTCGGGCACATCCTCCAGCTCCAGCTGCTGGCTAAGCACATCCTCTGACGTTGTGGCTGGGGCGGTCAGAGCCGAATCATCCTGCGACTCGGTCAGCATGAAGGGCAGACAAATGCGTCGAATGTTGGAGGCCCGAGCGAGATCTGCCGGCTTGGAGAGCTTCATGAGCACCACGTCGTGCCGAAAGTTGTGATAGCGATGATGCATCACAATCTTCTCGACGGGTATGCGCTGCTCATTGCCCGACTCCACATCCCGATCGTGCTCGCCCAGAACCACGGTCCACAGCGGAGGAATGGGAAGGTTAAAGAGATCGCTGAGGAGGAATCAGCATCAGATTAGCACCTACGAGCGGACGGCTTGTACCATCCTACTTACTTGTGCACGCAATGGGCGGCAGACAGTATCCAGTACTGATGGATGAGAACGGCTCCGCACCAGTGCCCCAGGAAGCCCAGTGACGGATGCAGTAGCTCCAGCGATGCCTGCCAGGGAAACTGGCCTTCGTTCGTCGTCGCACCAGAAATGATCCGAGGTCCTCGCCGCGACGACGGACGACAGCCGCAGTCTATGGAAGTGGAAGTGGAAGGAAACGGAGGCTTAAAGTTTTCCGTACTCCGATGGCGTACCGGACTTACCTGTCTCGAACTGCCGGGAGCTGCTGGGGAACAGCAGCAGCAGCAGCAGCAAGGCCAGGGCCAGGGCGTTCGCCAGCGTTCGAGGCGGTGACGATTGCTGTGATTGCTTCATCTTGGTCGGTCGCTGCCTGCTCCTCGGGGCAGCTGCCTCAGCTGCTCATCGTCCGCATGACTGACCCTCAGCAGCAGCCAGATGTCTTTGTCTTTGTCTTGAGTCTTTCTGTATCCTGATGATGCTGCTGGTGTCGACTGTCGACTGTCCAGATGCTTTTCACTTTCACGCTCGCAGTCAAATGAGCTGAGCGGAGCAGAGCAGAGCAGAGCAGAGCTGAGGGTGGCGGGTTCAGGTTCAGGGGGTGCCACGAGAGGTTGACTTCGACTGGCTTCTTTATAAGTCTGCACTCACGGCTTGGCCCAGACCTTTTTAATGGCTTAAATATAATAATTTAAGAGGTTTCCCAGCTCCGTTTTGGCTTTTCTCTTCACGACTGCGCATTAATTAGTAGTTCGCAAGCTTGAGCTGGGCGTCGTCCGCATCGCCAAATTGCGCGAAGCAGAAGCAGAAGTAGAAAGGGGAAGTGTCAGTGGCAGTGGCAGCTGGAACCAGAAGCTGGTCTCCACTCCACTCTCGATTATATAATGGCCCCAACTAACTGTTGGGCGCCCTGCGGCTGCTCAATATTAACGGTTGTTCGTCTACTTCGGCTGTCTTTTCGTTTTCGTTTTCGATGAGCGCGTGCGCGACGGCCTGCCTGAGTTTGTGCGGATTTTGTGGCGGATGGCGGATGGCGACGCTGCGAATGTGAATCGCTTGGGACGAGCGCCAAAATGCAACTGTGCTCTGCTCGGGTTTGCCAGCAAACATTTACCGTTTCGTTTACAGAGATGGATGCTGCGCAGTCGGCGCTGGCAGCGAGCATCGCTGTAGTGTTGCATGCCCCCGCCAGTTACAACAAAGGCGAAGCCAACGAAAGTGAAAAGGCAGCGGTGCGGTGCGGTGCGCGGTGCAGATCGGAGAGGGGCACCAACCACATAGATGATGGTTAGTTGAGATTGAAAAAGGGTAAGTTGGCCTGGTCCGACACTCGGATATCATTCACAGCGGAGAAAAAGCTTTTTCTGTGGGCGTGGATGTGGAGAAGCAGTTGTGGAAATGTTGTGATAAGTATAATTTGAAAAAAATGAGGTCGCATTTGGCATTTTGTCATATCTGCTTAGGTATGCATACGAGATGGGGGCAATGTGCGCTAAATATTGATGAATTTGAATTGGAATTGCTTCTCAATATTAGAATAAGCCTAATGGATATACGCGATTGTTAGATAAGGGCACAGTCTTGGTCAACTTAACATTCGTCATGTTGTTTACGAGTCGAGAGAAATTACCCTTCAGCCAATTATATGTAAACCTCATTTAAATGCGAACCGAGTTCGTTGAGGTGTTCTTATATTATAGTAAGTCGATCAATATTTCAGCTGCTGTTACATATAGGACCTGAACCTGATCTGTTTCACTCTGCTTACCGTGCATTACTTGCGGGGACGAATGCCACAATACATGTATGTCATTGTGGCATTTGGAGTACATTTTTTGTCCCTACCCCGATCATGGCTAAATAAGTGATTAGCAAGCAACTATTCAACGCCTGCTTCAATGTAAGATGTCAAGCGATTAGTTTAATTGCGATTAACTTAAAATATGCGCATAATAAGGCGATATGGCTTCCTCCCGTCGACTGTGAATGATTCGGCGTGCGGCTGACTGCCCAGCGTGCGACGGCTGCCTCGCCGAGTGCCAGTGAGTGAGTGAGAATGAGTGAGGGAGAGAGAGCGAGCATCCCAAAGCCATAGCCATAGCCAGGTGAGTGAGTGCGAGTTACTTTCGTTTTCATTACGCGATGAAGGCAGCAGCAACAGCAACAGCAGCAGCAGCGACCGACTTGAATTCCGTGTTGATGCACAAACCCATAAGTCATGTTGCTTGTTGGTGCAACTGCCACAGCCGCAGCCACAGCCCCAGCAGAAAAACCAACACAAAGCCAATGGGGAAGTTGTTAATGCAACATCGGCAACACCAACAACATAACTGCACTAGCAGCAGCAGCAGCGGCAGCAACATCAACAGCAGGGGGAAGTTTGTTTGTGCAGCCGATTGATCATTTAAGCCAAGACGCTGGCTGGCGAGCTGCTCTTGGCCAGCAGCCTGTCAATTTGTGGTGGTGGTGGGCGTTGGCATTTGCCCAATGTTGGTTGTGGTTGTTGTTATTGCTGTTCAATTAACAGGCGCCGTGTTGTACACGTACGAGGTTGACGATGACGAACGAAGTTTGCTGACTGACGCCGCCGGATAATCAAAAGAAAATAACAAAATCTGAAATCTGAAATCGCTTGCCCAATCCAACCCAAAAATCAAGACAGCTTGAAGAAAAGTTCCTCGCTCCCGCTCCGTGTCTGGTGGGAACGGAACTTTCCAGCGAAACTGCGCAAAAAATTGAAATATACAAACAGATTTAATTGAAATAAAATACAATTTTACGCATGTACTCCAATGCGATGACAATCGACGGAAGCGTTGCGGGTCAGAGCCAGGCCTCGGCAACGGCTACGGCAACGGCAACGGACGGACAAATTAGTCAAGCCAGACAAAGTGGGCACGTAGATCGATCTCTGGGAGAAATCGAAGTTCGGGACCTTGAATGCTGCTGAGTGGTGCATGGGCTGCAATTTCTCTACTGCCGCTGTTGCTGCTGCTGCCGCCTCTCTTCTGATGTTATTCAATTGCAATTGCATCATTGCAGCAAGATGTGGCCGGCGATCGGCAATCAGCTGCTGGCCAGCCAGCGGATGCTCTCAGCTGGAGTTCGAGAAACTCAACAATTAGACAAATGGTTGGATAGTTGGACAACACTTCACTGCTGCGTCACAGCTGATCGATATCAGGCTGCTGCATTTGCATGCCAGCAGCAGCAGCAGCAACTACATTGTGGCGTATCTTAAAGATGCGCGCATTACATTACCAACGAACGTCAGTGCCAGTGGCAGTGGTATGGGGCAGTGGCAACAGGCGCTTTCCACCCGACTGACGATCAGATGAAAACGAAAGTGCCTGCCTCAAGTGGTTGCCCAGCAGCTGCTGTGTTGTATACTTGACTCGCACGTTTCCAAGCTGCTGATGCTGCCGCTTCGGATGGTGCTCAAATTTATCTACTGGTGTTGGTGGTGCTGCTGCAGCCTGGGCTGTTGCTGTTGCCGTTTCCTGTATATCCAAGTTTATGCTTACCGCCGTTGCCACTGACAGTGGCAATGGCAATGGCAATGGCATTCCACATGCCACATGCCACATGCAATCCGCCCCAGCATAGTGCCAAGTGTTTTGCTTGGCTTTGTCAAACAAAAAGAGCCTCATGCAGAGTGGCTATACTGTCTAGTCAATGCTCTTACACATTTCTATTTAATTGTTGCCTGAAGTTAGACAGCAGTTCCAGATGTTTGCCTAACAAATGACATAATCAGTGACTATAATTAGCTTGAAAGCGTTTTAAGACTAATGTTCCTGCTGGATGACAAAGGGTTAATCTAGCTGCTGTCATGCGGGTCTGGGAACATTTCGGGGGGACTCGACTTTCAAATATTCATGATGTAACTGCAGTGGGCACCCACAGATCTATGCCTCACTTGCAAAGAGTGTTACGGATTCGGCCTTCTCTTGGTATCTAGTAAAGCCTTAGTGTCTGCTTTGTTTGGCATTTGCGCGTGTTTAATTGTAAGCAACCTCAAACAATTAGCTGCTTGAAGTGCAGTAAATTTTGAATTTTTATGTACATATTGGTTTTGCCGGAGAGGCGATGCGGCCACCGTTTGGGTCGTGCGGTCGTTTTCACAGTGGAATTCGGGGGCCGCCGATCAACAGGTGTGGGAAGCCCCACAAAACAGTAATCACAGATGAGCTCAGCTCCCATTTGGCCGGCCTTTCCTCGCTTTCCTCGCCAGACAATGGGACTCGATGCGGCTTGCCGAACTTTCCACCAGCCAGCCCCACACAGTTTGGGCTAACAAGAGCAAGGGCCCATTGTGTAGTGTATCATCGGCTGCCGACGGACGACTTTTGGCCATTCCGATCGGCCCAAGCCCAAGCTTTCCTCCATACAGCGCCCACCCAAGACGTCCCCTAATAGCGTCTCACCTGCTGCCGCCACCGCCACCGCCGCCGCTTCTTTTGGCTGCTTTTTTTCTGTTTTATTAATAGCAATTAGTTGGCTTGAACGCTGCTGGCGGAAAAAAGCAAAACAAAACAAAAACAAAAAGAAAAATTATATTGTCTGGAAGTTGCGGTTTCTTGTTTGTTGGCTTTCCTGTTGGTTTATCTGTGTTTCTTTTTTATGTGGCGCAAAATTTGTGGTTTCCATGTGCCGCCTGATGCGAAATTGTTGCAAGTCGCACCACAACTGCCTACACCGGTACATGGATGGGGCATGCGAATGTGCGAGATATATGCTTGTCAAGTTGAAAATTATTTGGCTGAACATTTAAATGCCTTGAACTCGATTGAACCCGTCGAATGCGGTGCAGCATTCACACCGATCACAAACTGGTGTGGTGCCTTTTTCCTTACCAAAGAGATTGTCTAATCAAAAGTGAAGAAAACATTAAATACCAAAATTATGTCATGAGTCTCTGTTTGCTGTTTGCTGTTGGAGGTGCTGCTGCTGCTGATGCCGCAGTGCAGGCAGGCAGTCGCAGATAGAGATGTGGCACAGTCGGATAAACGTAATTACCTAATGCTCGTATAAATACGAGTAGAAAGATGCAAGCCGCGAAGAAAAATAATAACTGACGAGACTGCTGTCTCCCCAGTTGGGGCACAATTGCTAATTGCACTTTGCATGGGGCAGCGGCAGGGACCCGGACCGGGACCGGGGCCGAGGCCGAGGCCTGTCAGATGCCAAGGCAATTGAATGAAATTTGAATTTCCAATTAGGGCTACCTACCCGTACCCTCAGAACGCACCAGCAGCTGCTGCTGACTGGGGACTGTGCTCTATGCTGACGTCTTCACTACACGTTGATAAGAAACAAACCCCCTTCGCCTTATCGGAGATCAGTCGTTGAGCTCT